AGGTTTGTCATCGCTTTCCTCCCAAGAAGAAGGTGTCTTTTAATTTCAGGGCTGCTGTCTCCGTCTGCAGTGATCATGGAGCCCAGGAAGATAAAATTTGCCACTGCCTCCATATCTTCCCCTTCTATTTGCCAGGAGGTGATGGGACCAGTGGCCATTATCTTAGTTTTTTTGATGCTGAGTTTCAGACCGTTTTTTGCACTCTCCTCTTTCACGCTCATTACAAGGTTCTTTAATTCCTCCTCACTTTCTGCCATCAGAATGGTATCACCTGCATATCGGAGGTTGTTGATATTTCTTCCGGCAATCTTAATTCCGGCTTGGGTTTCTTCCATTCCAGCCTTCCGCATGATGTATTCTGCATATAAGTTAAATAAGCTGGGGGACAGTATACAGCCTTGCCGTACTCCTTTCCCAATTTTGAACCACTCAGTTGTTCCATGACCAGTTCTGACTGTTGCTTCCTGTCCCACATATAGGTTTCTCAGGAGACAGATAAAGTGGTCAGGCACTCCCATTTCTTTAAGAACTTGCCATAGTTTGCTGTGGTCCACACAGTCAAAGGCTTTCGCATAGTCAATGAAGCAGAAGTAGATATTTTTCTGGAACTCTCTGGCTTTCTCCATAATCCAGCGCAAGTTAGCAATTTGGTCTCTAGTTCCTCTGCCTCTTCGGAATCCAGCTTGTACTTCTGGGAGTTCTTGGTCCACATACTGCTGAAGCCTACCTTGCAGGATTTTGAGCATAACCTTGCTATCCAAGTAAAAGTTGGTAATTTTAATGTAATGAGTATGATATTAAAAGATAATTAATACGACATAGGCTTGCTTTGATACTCTCCCCTCCTAGTTCTAATCAGCTACATGTATCCAGATGTGGGTACCATATAGATCATACAGAATTATTACTAGCACATGTCATCCATCCCTGAAATCAGAAATGGCTCTCCTGGGCCATAAGTTAAAAAACAATAAAAAAGGAGTATCTCATCATCAATGCAAGCTTATAAATGTGTACCTACAATTTTAATTCCTGGTATAGATTTGCTGCCCCATCTGTTTCAGCTCATTTGGAGCACAGCTATACATAGGTGAGTTTGGTTTGGAGGCCAATTTCAGGCTTCAGAATGTTATCCTAAGTTGGTCGGGAGTGATTTATGCCGCCTTCAAATCAAATTGTGCTGTGGATCCAAACCAGTGTGTAAATTTGTGAAGTCAGTGCAGAAAACTAACATGGCTATAACTCTCTCTCTCTCTCTTTGCACTGACCCATTTGAAATTTGGAGACAAAATAGACAATGAAGAGGAGAACAGTTTCACCAAATTTCCCACAGCTAACTTCAGGGATTGTGTACTAGGCACCTTCAGTTTTATTTTATTTTTAAACTAGTAGATTGAAGCTTTTTATTCCCCACCTGACTCTATCTGTGCCTTGGATCTGAATCAATTTGTAAATTTCCTTTACTTTGCCAGAGAAACCAGATTTGGTCTTTCTGCTTCAATCCAGACCTCATACAAATTGATCCAAATCAGGCTGATTCAGTTCAGAATTTGGGATTTCTCCAACTCCAGTGCACAGCAATAATTTACGGAGCAACTATAAACATACTGAACCAGGAATAATCCCTTTGTTAAAGCAAAATCTGTTTTTAAAAAATATATTAATGCTTATTTTAATATACTAGTCCAAACTGGTACTCAGTAACAACACATTTTCTACAAGGGGGAGGGTTGGAGGCCTTTGGCTATGAAAGCTTTTTTTTTTAACACAATAAACATGTCATTCATGAGCACTTAAGAGGCCTGGATCAGAGTAAAAGTCCACTAAGTTCCACTGTATCTGCTTTCTCACAGTCACCAATGAAAATGCCTCTAGGAAGCCTCTAGAATCACCATGGCATCTATTTCTTCATTCTTGTTTTGATTCATTCACGTAATTTGCTCATTCTCAAACTGTGCTGAAGGATCAATCAATCAATCAATCAATCAATCAATCAATCAATCAATCAATCAATCAGTCAGTCAGTCAGTCAGTCAGTCAAAGGCATTTGCACATCTAAATTCACCCACAGAGGATTCTGCAACATACTAGGCTATTCAATACAGCATAGCATCTTTGTGGGCCTCCTGAATGAACAGAAACAAATCCAGAATAGATGTCTCTGGAGTAGATGAAGGCAGGAGGACTAGCCCTACCATTAGGCAAAATGAGGAGGTTGCAGCAGGTAGCAGATTCTAGGAGATGACAGAACAGCATTCAAGCAAAGAGCCATGTGTGCCAAGCAGGTCTCTTCCTCCCCCTGCCCAATTGCAGTGCAGGACATTGCTGAAGGAAGATCCAGCCACCTGTCTGCTTCTATTTTGAAGTGGGAATCTTCTTCTTTCGCTTAGGCAGGAACCTGTCTTGGGCTGGCCCTATAAGACAGGGCATTTTGTTGCCTTAGGTAGAGGAGCAAATCCTTCTTTCAAGTCTCTGCCAACATGCATGGTAGGCTATTTGGGGACCATAGGCTGAAAATATCAAAAGCACTTTCCCTCCTTCCTAACAGTAAAAAATGTCACTACCAGTTATGACATAACTAATGATTTATTGCCATTTCATGCCATTCTAAATCTACTGGGAAGTCTAGAAGCCAGATTCAGGCAGGATAGGAACTCAACTGCGCTTTTCTTTACACCATCTAGAACAGGTTTGAGGGCATGTCATCCTCCAGTTATCGTTGGGCTTCAACTTGCATCAGCCCTTGCCAGCTTGGCCAATAGTGAGAGACTGTGGGAATTCCAGTCCAGCAACATCTGGAGGACTACACATTCTCTGGTCCTGCTATAAAAGGAGACTTCTATAATTATAAGTTGGAAGTGTCTTTCAATATTTAACACGGGGGGTGGTGAAAGGCCTCTTTAATTATCAGAAGTTTAGGAAAAATGGCCTAGATCAGTGGTTCCCAACTTTGGATAACTCAGGTCAGCAAATTCCCAGAAGCTTCAGGCAGCACAGCCAGCGGTGAAGGCTTCTGGAAACTGCAACCCAAGAGCACCTGGGTTACCCAGGGTTGGGAAGAACTGGCCTAGGTCCATAAAGTCATGCTGGTAGGAAATGAGGGGGTGATCAGTAGAACCTGAACTATTCATCTTAATTATTAGGGTTTCTTTCAACTAAGTGAAATTATTTCACAGAAAAGCAAAGGTAATGAAACATAGTAGATGATTCTAGATGTGTTTTGTACAGTAGAAACAGAAACAGGTGAATGGGTATGAAAGTCAAGAGTAAGAATACCAGAGCTTACACCATGTTGCATTGTCCTCCAGATAGTCCTCTGGGAAGCAGAAGGGAAAAAGGGGGGGGGGGGAGAAAAGAGAAAAGAGTTCAAGAGAAAGCATTAGGTTTTATCTGGGTATGACTCACCTCTTAAATATGCATAATTGTATTTACCTATTCAAATGTTACTGAAAATTAATACAAATACATTAAACTATGGAACAAGGACAAACTATTAGGTTACAGAAAACTGCTGCTAAGAAGATAATGTGCTAGAATTAGCAAGCCATTGTGAATAAGGTTTATTTAATTATGCCTCCTATGGATGGCAATAGGGCACATATTCAATTAGCCTTAAACCACCTCTGTACAACTTGTAACTTAATTTTTCCTCTGACATATTTTAACTTTTCTCTACTGCTCATGCGAAAAAGTACAGAAGACAAACTCTTCAAACATAATAATAGTATTCAGAAACATTATTTCCCTTTGTCCTTAAATTAGGTTAAATTTAAATGCTGTTTTATATTTCTGATCCTACTAAAGACATCAAGCAGAAAGGAGGAAGACTTTAACAAAAAATACTGCCAAGCAAATCCTGTGAAGGACATTATTGAAGCAGTGAGGAATAAATATAGGGCATTTAATTCATACAGGAGATACAGTACAAACATCATTTGACACTCCATCTGTATAAAAGGCTATGAATAATGTGACTGTCTATTTCCACCATGTGCACATCTGACTATATTAGATACACACACACCCTCTTAGGGTTGTTGTTTTGTAGATGCATTCTAACAAAGACTGATGCTTTGATGGTGACCACAAAGTCCATACTGCCTTGAATTGGAATATCAGACAAAAACAAGGGGGAAATAAAAAATAAAGATAAAAACGTTGTGGCCCCTTAAAGACTAACTGCTCTATTTTAATGTGAGCTTTCCTTGGCCAGTCCTCTTCTTCAGATATGTATGTATTGGACATGAATATACTGGAATGTGTAATATGGCAAATCAATATAAAACAATTTGACAGTATATTATCAAAGAAGCTTCAAATGCAGTTTCTCCCCCCCCCCAAAGGTCCTGTGTTTTGCTTTTGTTTTGGGTCCCATTGTGGTTCTGTTGCAATCAATCTGTTGTCTTCTTCTGCTTCAAGTAATATGAAAAAACATTCTTACTGGCTGGAACTGGTTTAGAGTATCCTGTGTTGCTGTCTAAGGATAAATTCCCACTTTCTAATCACACAGTAATTATAGTTTTCCACTGGAGTATAAAAATGTTACATTGCTCACTACTTTTCTCTACTGCGGTTTATGATTGTGATGATTTATGACAATTTTATGCCCTTATTTCCATTTGGTTTCTTGGCCCAATTCAATGTACAGTGGTGCCATGCATAACAAGCGCACCGTTTAATGACGAATCCGCATAGCGATCTATTTTTTACGATCACTAATGCAATCTCATTGCGATATTTAGATAGGGAAAACATCGCATTGCGATGTTTTTAGAACAGCTGATCGGTGGTTCCAAAATGGCCACCGGTTGCCCAAAATGGCCGCCGCAAGCATTTTCGCGCGGTTTCCTCGCTTACCGAGGCGGCGAAAATGGTGGCGCTATGGAGGATCTTCGCTGAACGATGAGTTTAATGCGTTCCTAAGGGGTTTTTAGTTCTGTTTAGTGATGTTTCCGGATAGCAACTATTAATCCGGAACGGATTAACGTCACTATGCGACTGTATTACCTTTAAAGCCCTAACTGTGATTTGCAAAACTTTTAGAATAGGGATTCTTCTACTAATGCCCCCTTAGTTTAGGGTTGCCAGCTCAGGAGCATCCCATTCCTTAACATTTCAGAACAAAAGATGGGCCATTGTGATGTCACAGGTGCAGGCCCTGGTCATGTGACATGGGCAACACAGAGAAGGCTTAGGACTAGCTGACTGTGGAAATAGGCAGAAGGGGGATTTGGGTTAATGGGCCCCAAATCCTGGTTAAAAAAACAACTCATTTGTTAATACTGCAGCTCAAAGGTTGGATGGTGGCACTTGTAGTTCTTTGGCAACTAGTTACAGGCAAAATGTGCTCCGAAGCTGCAGCGGTAACCACCATCCCTGTGTTGAGCCGGTGAACCCTGGTCCCAGCTGAGAATAAATAAGGATTGGTGCACCAGATTTAATTTTATCACTGCTCATTCTGAGATTTCTCTCCCCATCTGCAGAACCGGAGAATTCCTTGAGCTTCCAACTCGTACCTTCGCAACACTGAAATGAGACCTAGCAATGCTCTTCCATATCTACTGAATCATAGCCATTAATTGTTCCTCCATGTTTCTTCATATACAGAGGCCTGCAGTGTGTTCTTATATATCTCTGCTCAGAACTGTGTCCCACTGAGCTCAGTGTGATAAACATTTATAGGTGTGTGGACACAGGATCACAACTCTGGCCAGAATCCGAACAAAGGTATTTTCTGTTGAGGACTCTACAGTCTAGCATTTTTTGCTTACTCGCCAACTTCTTCTAAACTTTCTACTGCTAGGTAAAGACTTTTACTATCTTGTCAATTCCTAACCAAATATGATTTATTGAGGGGAGATGAACAATTATTGCTATTGTCTTTTTAAAAATATGGTTAATATTTACATCTTTATTCACAGTACTATTTAATTATAGGTTTTATCAACCTTCACTATGCCTTTATATGTCACAGTGAATACATTGTCTTTCCATAGAAAAATGACAAACTCAGATATAAAAGTGAATGGAAACCCATACTTTTTTTTCCCTTTTCAAGAGATGGTGATAACCATTAGCTGCAGCTTATGATTGTGGAAGAAGCATACTGTAGTAATTTGCCTACTGTTTCTCCAAAAATCCAGAAGATAATCTTGCAGCATCACAAAAAGCTACTTGGCAAAGACTGCCTGATTTACAGGGAGTTTTGCTCATAGTTCAAATTGTCAGAAGTGACAATACAGCTACAAACGTACAGGTGTTGCTCTAAAATATTTTGCTCTCCTGGTCCTGGAAATTGTTTTGTTTTACAGCAGATTCTGGACTCACGCTGCTGGGAAGAACAATGACTTCAAACCCTCACTTATTCCCAGCCCACTTGGATAGCGTATGCTGCATCTGTTCACTCCAGTGAGGCTAAAATACTCAAAGAAAGCAGTGTATTTTCCATAATTAGTTATTCATGTGTTGTCAAGCCAGAACCAACTCGCAGCAATCCTAATAATGCTTTCAAAGTAAAATACTTAACAAAATGATTATTTTGATTTTATTAATACAGTACTGGTTCTTATCCCTGTAAACTGAGAAATAGCATTTTTCAGATATTTTAGACAATGCTCCATGAATGATCCAGATTCTGATTTTGTAGCTTTATTTGCAGATGTATTTGGGGTGGAAGAAAAATGTGTCTGCAAAGCTTTCAAAAAATCTCTTTATTTCAGATACGTGCTATTACACTATTATGCTAATAGCATATTTTTGTCTTTTGTTATTTTTTCAGTCGAGGGAAACAATTATCTGCCTTAATATAGTATATCAATAATAAACAGAAAACAAAACAACACAAACACACACACACCCAAAATTTTGTGGCACCTTAAAGACCTATAGTATAGTATATCAATAATAAACAGAAAACAAAACAACACAAACACACACACACCCAAAATTTTGTGGCACCTTAAAGACCTATTGCTATATTTTAATGTGGGCTTTTGTGGAATATCAGCCATATGAGTGAGAACTTAACTAACTCAAGCTGCACTGATTTCAGTGGGTCTACACTAATCATTCATGACTAGGAGTGCCTCCGGCTCAATGACCCTAATGCTGCTGAAGTCAAGGGTGGCACACAGCAGCCTGAGAAGGAGACGTATTCTCATCTACCTCAAATATAAGCTGTGTGGGCATATTAGTGCTGACATTATGGTTGCAAATGTGCATGTAGATGCACTGCTGTATTCCTATTGGCTGAAACGTTCTACTCCTGAATCATACAGAATTCTCTTGCTAGATGATGATGTTGGATTTTACATCTTATCTTCTCACTTGAACACTCTAAGTTTGGAATTAGCAGGTGAGAAAAATGCATGACTGATAGTCCTCTCATTGGCCCTTGAGACTGGACGATGCGCTCTCATGAAAAATACTGCATTTCTTACAAAGAAAATAACTGAGCCTTACAGTCCCATTTTGGGACTTAAATAACTACAAATCCTTTGGTTATAAAATGCGTTCAGGGTGATTGTAGAACTTTTCAGCTTCTCTTTCCATACCATATTGTGTAACATCCACTTGATCAGCAGTTCTGAAGGACTCAGAAATTAGCCATTTTAGATTTTGGTGGTCTGATAAAGGCATTACCTAAGAATGTATTTTGGGCTAGGGGATTAAATAAAAATAGCTAAAAAGAAATTCTTTGAATTTCCAAAAGGCGGAAAGGGGGAAAGTGAGGTGGCCTCAGATTGCATGACTGTCCTTGAGAAGGGTTATAAATCTCAAATTACTAGCTGAGGAGGGGCTTGAAACCATTCCCTTCCCCCTCCATAGGGGGAAGACTGCACCCATTTCCAACTAAGAAGCTAATGTAGCCTCAACATCGACCATGTGGCTTTGGAACATAAATGACAGCGTACAATTTTGGAGCTACCTACAAATATTTGATGCATAGCCTTGAAGAAGATGATTTATCATTGAAAGCTCACTGTTTGCTTTTTGTTTTGTTTTATATTCTTAATGGTCGATTAAAGGTATCACCTCTTCCTGCATTTGTATTGTTTCTATGACCATGCATCCTTTTCCTGATCTTTTCTACGTCTGACAGGTTCATTTTTTTCATTTTGGATGTCATAAATAATTTTGGAGTAATCTTCAACAGATATACTTGAATAGGATTCCTCTAGAGTAAGTGCCTTGTAGTGTCTCCCCCGGTTTGTTTGTTTGTTTTTGGTCTGAGGGAGAATAAAAGGATATACTGTGCTTGATGTCTCTGATTATCAAAACACCAGTAAATATTTTTAATGTAGTTATAAAACATTTTGGTTGTTGTCCTGGCTTGGATGAAACGTGAATTCTTTAATGGAGCTTTAGTGAGTGAAGATACATTATGCATATGGACACTTAACAACAATAAGTACCTATTAAATTATGACTGAAGCTGTAAAAATGAGTTTATTGTAAAGTTAATTAGGAGTTGGAATGATTGCACTTTAGTGTGAGTGGCACAGCATCACTTATTTCAGTTGTAGGCATTTTCCATTTTCTCACTGACAGAAACCGATCTAGCTGTTGAAAAGCTGCTTTTGCCATTTCATCCTGAAGAGCAATAGCTTATATGACTGGTGAAAGGTATACCAAATAGTGCCTTACATTTGCAGTACGACCCACTTGCCATTAGACTGTGGAGAAGGCAAGAGTGGAACTCAGAAAGGCAACTTTCCCCTCTCACAGAATCCTTCTGTCAGTATAGCCTGTGAGAGTTATTTTCAGGGGTAATGGTTCACAAAATAACATTCTGCGATGCTCTGAGGCAGAGGGACAAGTTGACCCACTGCCTGCTGCTGCCCTTGTCACAGAGCTCTTTGCTTATGAATTAAGGAGCCTGTTAAGTTCTGCTTTGGTGGTGGAGGTAGATGGGAGAGGGGCTGGGCTGATGTTAGCTGGATGTATCTGAGGTGGTGACAATGTCTTTGATAACACTTAATATGTACAGTATCAGCAAATTCCACAAAGCATGCCCAGGGCAAAAGAAGACCTTCCGCTTTCAATGTTTATCTGTGATACTGTGTGCTACAATGGGAACAAGGATTCACATCTCTTTCAAAATAAGGCAGTGAGGTTATACATGATCGATACTCAACACACATTCCAGTAGTGTAAGATTTGGATGCATATGATATTTATGCCTGTCACTCATGATCCAGGAAGTGAAGAGCTTTTCCTCAGCTAAAATGAGGCCTCTCTCCATACTCTAGCCTTATGTGTGTTGCCAGAGGGGCTATTCTCACATGCTTTCAGTTCAGGGCTCAGTAGGACTACAGGGTTTTAGAAAGAATGCTGATTAAGCAGGCATACAGGCTATAATTGTCCAGTATTTCTACTTGTTAAAAGCATTCATATTATGCAACAATAATTGCTCAAACCATATTAGCAAATTATGATATTGCTATAATGGCTCTGTATAGCTGTGTAGTGAAATATTACTACAAAGGATGTGCAAATACCATCTAATCTGATTTGTAGTCACATATTTGCCATACAGATTGGGAGCGACCCATCCGGAGCTGTCTTGGAGACGGTTTGAACTGATTAATTTTCGGGTTTCTGAAAATATTTGTAGATATTTATGCATTTCTGGATCAGGAGTAGGGGGGACCTGAAAGTGTAGTTATGTATGAATATCCCTGTTTTGACTTATTACACTACTACAACCCAAAGTGAAGAGAGGAATGAGATGAGATAAATGGATCATAACATTCTAGTTTAACAACATTTTGGCATTGAATGGAAGAGAAAAACTTGGTTTCCCAAGGGAAAATGAAGTGGCAAATGCTACACATGACACACAGAACTTTTGTTGTGATAGTGGCTTCCAAAAGAGAGCATTTGCCACTGTGTGTTTTCATAGGAAAACATCTCATGAGTAGGAAAATTCATTCATGTCATTTTGCCCCATATCCACATTCAATCAGCACTTCAATTCCTAGGCTGAAGATGACCATGGTGGCTAATGTGCCTACCATTTTCAGGGTTGCCGATGCCTGCCAGAGAGATATTAAAGATAAGGAATTTCTCATAAAAAATATGTGGCTGCAGTTGTTCCACACTACACATTTGAATGCAAAGGATTTTAACTCCACAGCTAAGCATGCAAATCTGTCAATTTTGATTTCTCTGACATTTAAATTATTAAAATCTCAATTTCGAGCCAATGCAGTTAGGAATACATGTGTGAAATTTATTAAATTCTTTTGAAAATAAACTGCAATAAACATCTCACTGAGCCCTACTTATAGCAGCACACATTTTGATTTGACAATGTCACACAAATGCTATGAGGGTCAACGTTCAAAATAAATATTTCCTCATTTGATTGTCAGCCATGATTGCTGTACCATAAATATTACTTACTAGCCTGTCCAAGCTTGTACCAGCGGCTGTTGTTGGTCTTTCCTCAGGGTGATAGGGACGAAAACGGACATTGAAGTTATCAGGAATGGAACGGGAAGATCTTAAACCTGGAGCTGGTTTAGGCTGTCCACATCCTTGAAAGACCTGCAAGAACCATGTTACACAGAAGGTTTGCTCACAGTAGAATCTAGCAATAACATAGTCCTGCCTGTCAAACAAATAATACATTCGGTAACCTGGAGAAAGTAATCTGTCAGCAAAGTTACCATCAGCACGTACTAAGTAGACTTTTGGATACTGGTTTGCTCATAGCTTGTTAGTGGATTTATTGGTCCAAGATTATCCACCAAACTATATAAACTAAGTAGGATGACCAAGCAGTGTCACGTATAACAAAACCATACTTCTCTGTCAATTGTTCCACAATGGGTTTTACTTCACAGATACTTGACAGATGCCATGGGAAAGACTGAATGAAGAATACTTGAATGTTCTTTTTTTCTTTCAATAATGCTGACTCTGGATTGAACATGGATGGGTTCTTCACCCCTAAAATTCAGGGGGCACTCCCCATTGCTGGCCAGAAACTATTGAGCAACACTTTCGGCTTTTGTCAAATTATTTAGCATGTTAAAAATATCCTCAGCATGTCCTTGATATGGCTTACCTTAAGTACCAAACCTTCACTTATCCACTTATCCTCCTTTCAAGTCTGAAGAATTTCTCTGGGCTTTGTTTTACTGTGATAGTCTGTGGTTTCTTCCAAAGATTCTGCTTAAAAATGTTCACTCAAATCTCACTCTAGGCTCTCACAGCTCTGAAATTGTTGCCATCAAATAATGTCTTTGCTCATCAACTGCTCATCTAGGAGAAGGAAAACTCTGATTTCACATGGAATGTTCGGACAATGACCCCTGGCTTTTCTGACAACCTGCAGGAAATAGACGACGTGCGCAAGACAGCTGTCATCGACAATGAACTGAGTAGACTGTGGATGGACATTGTTGCCCTGCAAGAGACGAGACTGACAGACATGGGCTCCGTCAAAGAAAAAAACTTCTCATTCTTCTGGCAGGGAAAACCATTGAACGAGACCAGGGAATATGGTGTTGGCTTTGCGGTGAGAAATACTCTGCTGAGATCCATTGTTCCACCTACTGTGGGGAGTGAAAGAATCCTGTCTCTGCAGCTCCACTCATCAGCGGGACTGGTCACCCTCATCAGTGCATATGCACCAACACTGTCATCCACAACAGAAGTCAAAGACAAATTCTATGACGATTTGGCAGCTACTATCAAAAACGTCCCTGAGAGAGAGCCGCTGTTCATTCTCGGAGACTTTAATGCTAGAGTTGGTGCTGATCACAACTCTTGGCCCACCTGTCTAGGCCGTTTTGGCATTGGGAAGATGAATGAAAATGGCCAACGTTTGCTGGAGTTTTGCTGTTATTATGGTCTTTGTGTCACCAACACATTCTTTAATACAAAGCCTCAACACAAAGTTTCCTGGAGACATCCAAGATCGAAGCATTGGCATCAGCTTGATTTGATCCTCACTAGACGTTCTAGCTTATCTAGTATTACGATCACACGCAGTTACCAGAGTGCTGATTGTGACACTGATCATTCCCTGGTGTGTAGCAGAATAAAACTGCAAACAAAGAGATTGTATCATACTAAAAAGGAAGGAAAACCACGTATAGATATCAACAAGATTCGCAATCAAAGAAAAGTGGAGGAATTTGCCCAAGCGCTTCAGGAAACCCTTCCAGGCCCGGCTGATGCGAATGCACCTGAACGATGGGAACGCTTCAAGAACGCTGTTTATAACACTGCCTTGTCCACATTTGGCAAGAAGACCAAAAAGACGGCTGACTGGTTCGAAGCCCATTCAGAGGAGCTGATTCCAGCCATCGAGGATAAGAGGAGAGCTCTAGCAGCATACAAAGCCTGTCCTAGTGAGTACAACTTGCAGGCTCTTCGAGCTGCTCGTAGCCAAGTCCAACAGACTGCCAGGAGATGTTCCAATGATTATTGGCTTCAGCTCTGCTCTCAGATACAGATAGCAGCGGACACAGGTAACATCAAGGGAATGTATGATGGTATCAAGCAGGCTTTAGGTCCAATACAGAAGAAATCTGCTCCCTTGAAGTCTACTACAGGCGTGATCATCCAGGATCGAGCACAGCAGATGGAACGCTGGGTACAGCACTACTCTGAGCTATATTCTAAAGAGAATGTAGTAACGGAAGATGCACTAAATAACATTGAGTGCCTGCCTCTCTTGGAAGAGCTGGACAGTGAACCAACTTTAGCAGAAATAAAAGCAGCCTTGGATTCCCTTGCCTCTGGCAAGGCACCTGGAAAGGACAACATCCCCGTTGAAGTTTTGAAGTGTTGTAAAGAGATCATCACCACTGAGCTGTATGAACTCTTTTGTCTTTGCTGGAGAGAAGGTGGAGTACCACAGGACATGAAGGACGCAAACATCGTCACATTGTATAAGAACAAAGGCGACAGGGGCGACTGCAATAACTACCGTGGTATCTCTCTTCTCAGCGTTGTAGGGAAGCTGCTGGCCCGTGTTGTGCTGAAGAGACTTCAGGTGCTTGCAGACAGAGTGTATCCAGAATCACAGTGTGGTTTTCGAGCTAACAGATCCACCACTGACATGGTATTCTCCCTCCGACAGCTGCAGGAGAAATGCAGGGAACAACAACAGCCACTCTTTGTGGCCTTCATAGATCTCACCAAGGCCTTTGACTTGGTTAGCAGGGATGGACTTTTTAAAATACTTCCCAAGATTGGATGTTCACCTCAACTCCTTAATATCATCAGGTCCTTTCATGAGGAAATGAAGGGCACTGTAGTTTTTGATGGCTCAACATCAGATCCCTTTGACATCCGAAGCGGAGTAAAACAAGGCTGTGTCCTTGCGCCAACCCTGTTTGGGATCTTCTTTGCTGTCATGCTGAAGCAGGCCTTTGGAACTGCAACAGAAGGTGTCTATCTCCGGACTAGATCAGATGGAAAGCTTTTTAATCTCACTAGATTGAGAGCGAAGACCAAAGTCCAAATGAAATGTATGCGGGACTTCCTCTTTGCTGATGATGCAGCCATTGTTGCCCACTCTGCTGAAGATCTCCAACAACTCATAAATCATTTTAGCAAGGCCTGCCAAGACTTTGGACTAACTATCAGCCTGAAGAAAACACAAGTCATGTGCCGGGGCGTGGACTCACCTCCCTCTATTACTATCTCCATGCAAGAACTGGAGGTTGTTCATGAATTTGTGTACCTTGGCTCAACAATCTCTGACACTCTCTCCCTAGATGTCGAGCTGGATAAACGCATTGGGAAAGCAGCTACCATGTTCTCTAGACTCACAAAGAGAGTATGGCTTAATAAGAAGTTGACGGCATACACCAAAATCCAGGTCTATAGAGCCTGTGTCCTGAGCACACTCCTATACTGCAGCGAGTCCTGGACCCTTTGTGCACGGCAGGAGAGGAAGCTGAACACCTTCCATATGCGTTGTCTCCGACGCATTTTTGGTATCACCTGGCAGGACAAAGTTCCAAATAGAGTAGTCCTAGAACGAGCTGGAATTTTCAGCATGTATACAATATTGAAACAGCGCCGTCTACGTTGGCTTGGGCACGTCGTGAGAATAGCTGATGGTCGGATTCCAAAAGATCTCCTGTATGGAGAATTAGTGCAGGGAAGCCGCCCCCGAGGGAGACCACAGCTGCGTTACAAGGACATCTGCAAGCGGGATCTGAAGGCCTTAGGAATGGACCTCAACAGATGGGAAACCTTGACGTCTGAGCGTTCAGCCTGGAGGCAGGCGGTGCATCATGGCCTCTCCCAATTTGAAGAGACACTTGTCCAGCAGACCAAGGCAAAGAGGCAGGCCCGAAACAAGCAAAACCAGGGAGATGGACAGGGGACAGATTGGATTTGTCTTCAGTGTGGAAGGGATTGTCACTCTCGAATTGGCCTTCTCAGCCACACAAGACACTGTTCCAACACCTCCATACAGAGCACGATACCATAGTCTCTCGAGACTGAAGGATGCCTACACTCATCAACTGCTCACTTTTTAAATAATAAAAAAGGATATTTGCCTGAAGGAAAGGCATTTGAAGTAAAACTGGAATATCAGAGAAGGATGGCTTTGCTCTACAATGGTTCCCAACCTTGGATCCCCAGATGGACTATAACTCCCACAAATCCTGGCCAGCACAGCTAGTGATGAAGGCTTATGGGAGTTGTAGTCCAAGAACATATGGGGACCAAGCATCAGGAACCACTGCTCTAATATAACAACACAGGGCAGAAACATGACTCTTAAAGACAGTTCATTGACTTTTTAATACAAATTATTGGACTTGTCTACTAGAGATGGACATGGATTAAAAAACAAATTGCAAAATTAATAAAAAATGGCTAATTTGTCAATTCATATTCATTAGAAGTGATGCCCACAACAAATACAAATCAAAGAATTTTTAGAGATTCTCAATTTGTCATTCATTGGGCTGTATAATGTCCTCCCCCCAGGCACCTAGAGACACCGAAATAACAGGTAAGCTTCCCTGGATTCTCCTCTACAGTCCCTCATTTGGTGGAGACTGGGTTTTCCCTAAGCCAGCTGCAAAAGGGCACTTTCCTGAGGGGACCCACTTTTGTGGTTGTATAACTCAGATATCCAAAACCTAATATTCGCAGGGCTTCTAGAGGAGAGTCAGGAGAAGCTTCTATGCGATTCTGGTGTCTCTAGTGCCAGGGGAGGGGACACTTTATAGAGTTTTAAAATCAAGATGAGTTGACAAATTAATTCATTGATTAATCAGAAAAAAATATAAATTCATCGGTCATGAACTTGGATGAATTACAAATCATACTAATCACCTTTTCCCCCAATTTTAGCCCATCTTTACTGACTATTCCTCAGGGCTTGAGTGGTAAGCACAACATTTCCCATTTTTTCTTCTTTTGGAAGAGTGTGGCCGGCTTACTTAATTGAAAATAATGCAGTGGGAGCCAGTCAAACTGGTCATAGTCAATCTCCTATTTTTATGCTGCCACTGGTATTTTCTAAATAGGTATTTGCATCCATAATCATACACATACACAGTAAATGCAGAGATTAGCAAAGAGTGTGTATTTTCCCTTCAAGTCCCTGATGATGTGTGAAAGAATTATAGTCTTTAATTTTAGAGGTTAATACTGGCCATCCTCACAGCTTGGCTTCCAGTCAATAATGTGTATGCTGTGTTTCTGTAACTGGGCTTCCCTCTTAGGAACTATGATAAAATTTAAGTGCCAGAGAACAGGCCTTGTTCTCACAATTGAAAAGAAGGATATCTGTTCCTACTCTCTCTGCCCCTCTCTGCTTGAAGTATCTAGCAGTGACTCTAACAGAGTTTGCCAGTTATGTGACATATTTTGAGAGTGATTTTACTAGTGCCACTTCCTAGTGAGTTTCCATGGTCAAATGTGGATATGAACCCAGGTTTCCTGAATCTATCACTATCCAGTAAGCACACTGGCTTTTAAGTGTTGGCTTAGCATTCAGCAGTTAATTCACTATGTAGGTGGACTGACAGTAAGATACTAGCCAAAGAAATATATAGCAAGATTGCTGTATCTATAAGATCAATATCTGTGGTTTCACTTATCTGCTGCCTGAAAATATTAAACAAAAAACTCCAGAAACATGCATTGCCAAGGTGTATTACCAGAACCGGCCAATAGAGGGAACCAGAGACTATGATATATATAGCATTTATGTTCCTACACTTTTCAGCATCTATGGGGAGGCTTGGAACCAATCCCCCATGGAAACTACAGATTTTGGTAGAGATTTGGGTAAATCCTTGCATTCCCACCTACCCGCACTATCCAAAATCTAATCTGTACAGCTGTTCCCAGCCTGCAAGTAACTATGTTGCATCTACCTGGCATGTAGCTGTTAAAGATGAAGCCCATCAGATTAACAGGTCGCAACCCTTACTCAACATAACAAACATGGCTTAACGCAGAGCGATTCAGTAATAGTCTTCTATGACCTATTCAAAGTCCTCTGTCATGATGAGTAAATCTGTCAGTTTCATTTTTCCCCAATTCATGTTTTTTTCTAAAATCTCAAGGTTTTTTACAACTTGTTTATGAAGACACTTGTGATTTTGACCATTTCTTCTGAAATGAAGATAAAGAACAAAATGCCCACTAATCACTGCTTGCTGTCATTCAACATTTTTTTTGGGAAAAACCCCATTAACTATGGTTCCCCAAATCCCACAGCCAGGATAGCCAGCATGTGGGATTTGGGAAGCTACAGTCCATAAAAATACCTTTTCCAAACATTGATAACTACCAACAGAGTGGAAGAGTATCTGTGCTTGATTTTGCAGGCGAAGCAGCATTTCTGACAAACCAACAGAGAATGGCACAATTTTGCAACTAATTGAGAGATTTAATACCAAATGTGTTCTTAATACCTTTGCTGTGACATGTGCACTGTTTTCTTGCATGTTCATGATGGCTTCAGATATCTTGACATCGATAGGATCCATTACTAATTCAATGTTGAATGGCCCCTCTAATCGGTCTGCTACTAAAAGCATAGCATCTGTAAAAAGACAGAGAAGCCAAAACTCAGATAGCAACGAACTATGGTCCTTCATATGGTACATTACAATGCATCCTTAGACAATTCTGCATCAGAATCTTTTCTTTGCCTCACTGAGAGACAATGGAAATCAGGAGCATCTCCAGTGTAGGCAAGGGGAGAGAGGGAATACAATAGGCTTCCAGCAAATGCACAATTACCAGTTACCAGAAGATGGAGTCCTCGTATGTCTTTATTTATTGTTTTCCTGCCTGCTAGGGCTTCCAAAGCAATGTACAACAGATAAAATTATTATTTAACAGCACATTAAAAAGAGTTTTAAAGAACAAATTTCTGAAGCCAATTCTTTTTAAAACACATTCCTTAAAACAGGTGGAAAACACTTCCAAGAGCCAATTTTAAAAACATTTGGAAAGGCTAAGAGTCATGTGGAACAATACGGTCTTGGCTATCAACAAGGATGGAGCTCTGTTCGGAACATGAGTCTTCCATGTGTACGTCATGGATCTAGCTGGGCCTATTGTAAGTGAAGGCCACAGTCCAGCAGCAGAAGACATGCACTTTGTGGAAGAGATCATTCCTAGGTCCAAACCTAGGCATCTCCAAATATCTAGAGAAAAGACCTTTGCCAATTTGGGCAACATTTCTTCAACCTGGCATTTTCCAGATATATTGGATTAGGATTCCCATCATCCCCAACCAGCATGCTTTGACAGAATTTGCAGAACAGCATGTGGGTGCTAGACTGGGAAAGAAAACTATAGCCAATATGGAACCAGACAAATTGCTGGTCTGCCTTGGTATGTTGCTGTTGTTGTTTAGTTGTTAAGTCGTGTATGACTCTTCGTGACCCCATGGACCAGAGCACGCCAGGCCCTCCTATCTTCCACTACCTCCTGGAGTTGGGTCAAATTCATGTTGGTAGCTTCAATGACACTGTCCAGCCATCTCGTCCTCTGTCGTCCCCTTCTCCTCTTGCCTTCACACTTATAAGGCAAGGCAAATGATCTTAGTGGAATGAGGTTTTTTCATTTGCTGTTAGTGTGGGGGCGTACTTCCAAATGGGAAGCACTAAAGGGAGGTGCACAGTCAAGGATGTTAAACAACAACAATAACAATAACAGTAACGGTAACTACAGTGGCCCTACACTGCAGTGACTCTTTGCAGCATCCCCTGAGCAGTAGCACTTGTAATAGTAATATGGGAGAAGAGGAGTGTGAACCCACAGAACTGTTTTAAAGACAGAGGCTTACTGGGATCACGTGTGCTCCAGACCATAGGCTGCCCAGGCCTGATTTCTGGCATCCTGGGATGAAATATGGCGCACCCTGGTAACCAGTCTGCGCAGGCAGGCCCCTCTACATCTGTGTGCCTTCCTGTCTGTGCAGGTGATTTCAGTCATGTGTTTCTCTCCAATATACAATAACAACGTATGTAACTTGGGTGAGTGGGAGAGTGCTATGCAGATGGAAAATTGAAATATAGAAACAATTCATGTGGAATTACAGCAGGTAAACCTTTTTTATACATTATCAAGGCTGCAAAAACCAAAAGCTGGTTAAAACTTTCTTCACAAGAGTGGTCTTCTGTCATTGTTAGCTAAAAACAGGTGGAGAGGGAAGCGATAAAGAGTTTAAAAATGGCATTAATAATGGATACCAGATACGATTGCCTTATGCAGGAGAGACATGAAGCCCCTTTTATCTTGATACCTGAAACAGATAATTTGCTAGACAACAGTACATAGACTTATCCATCACAAAAATGAACGCTGATTGGAATGAACCCTTGGGGTATATTCTGGAGTTCTGCACAAGACGGTGAAAACTTTGATGTGATATACGGGATCTTATAATTAAAGCAGCTGTTCATTCTGACCCCAAGGACCCCATTTCCTTGCAATACAAACAGGAGATAAATATTGAATTCCTGCCACGATGTACAGGTACAAGCCATGTTTCATGCTCCATGAGGTTCACAAAATGCAGCTGGATACTGTCTGTTGGAAGAGATATTTTATGGCACTGCTGGGGTTCCACAAGCTCGTTTGTCTAATGACATGTCACCATACATCAAGGCATTGCATAATGTTCAATAATAAAAAAGATGGTGATGGGTCTGCTGCTTTATTTACAGTATACCCTTGACCCCCATCTAGCATCATCCAGAAGGAGATGGTATTTCGCACTATAACCTCCAAGCGCTTTCTGACAGTGTTTCTCTCCACCTCCATGTACATGAAAGGGATATTAGTTTCCTTCAAATACAGAATTCCTTTTCCTTTCTTGACAAGACTGACAACGGCCATCAGTTCTGTATTTAATGTCCTGGTAGCAAACCGGCCTTGAAAAACATTTTTGAAATGTATGCAAGCCTCAAGATTTGACTCAAGGTAGGGACACATGCCCAGCCTGAAAAGACAAAATGAAGCACAAGGAAAGAAACACAGATGCTGATTTGCATAAAATCTATCCATGCTAAATGTATTAATGTATATATAAACACTGATAATAATTTGTATTTATATTATATTAATATAATACCCCTTCACGGATTGCTGCCTTGTCGTGGCGAAGGGGCTTGAGTAATTCAGAGAAGCTATGGGCTATGCCGTGCAGGAACACACAAGACGGACAGGTCATAGTGGAGAGTTCCGACTAAACGTGATCCACCTGGAGCAGGAACTGGCAAGTCACTCCAGTATCTTTGCCAAGAAAACCCCATGAACAGAAACAAAAACA